TTKYGYGWRAATCGAGATCRSCCTACTTATTTTGCTTTTAGTGGTTCATGAAGTTGCCCTATCGTGGAATGTGAAAAAGAAATTATCATTCTTGTTCATGGTATGGTTGACTAATTTAAGAATGCTAGTATGATCAAGGGACCTGGTACTAGTTGGAGAAATGTTGGGTACAGGCACAGGCAGCCCACAGATTGACTATGACGAACTAGYCAGTGTATCAAGGGAGACTTTCTAGAGCGTTTTCTCTGGTCTAATGTAAACACTATCTGAAAAAGAAAGCTGTTTTAAAAAGAAGGCTGCTGGTCGATACTACTTCGTTGCCATGCAACTCATAAAAAACTGATCGGCTAACCCTTTATTGATTTTGTCAAGTCGGATGTTTGACACGTTTTTCATATGCCAATCAATCATGAAGGAATTTTTCAGTGTTAGCAATATTGACGATGTACATTATAGGCATTATAACCACTAAGTAGTGTGGGAAGTATTCCTATTATCCTTTTATTCACTAGTTGTTTTTCTGCTAGTATTTCAGAATCTGTTTAATGCATAGACAGTCTTTTTAATGTTTAATCTTGTTAATGAAATTTTTTATTAGACAATATATCAAGTGGTTTTGAATTACGATAAACCTTTAATCCATACTGAACTTTTTATGTGACTCGTAAAGCCGTCCGTGGGGTTAATACGTGTCTTAATCCCTTTTACATACTCTCAAATCCCTTTTATGTATTTTCATCAATTTGGTTTGTGGCCACTGGATTGTTATTCTAAGTCAGTCGTGTAGTTTACTGAATCTGCGATCTGTTTGGYCAGCATACTAACTTAAGTAGTTATCGTATAAATATTTGAAAAGAATGCCGTTTTGGAGATAAACTGCAAAAACAATTCAGWAAAACACCACTGGTGATATTGATTCCACAGAAATATTTCCAGGATATTACAGTTCATAAATTTGAAGTATAAATTCACGTTATCATTCTGAGCTCGTTTTCTCGAGTAATTTTTACAATAATATTCATCATCATCATAACTCTTCGCGCCGGTAGGCGCATAAGGCCTTCACCCCCTTCACAATAATATTAGTAATGATAATAATACGTTTATTAATGATTCCAAAGGGCTCTTCGGCAATAATTTACAAATAAATGATACTTATGTRTGTATAAAACGTATGTATAATGATATGAAACTACAATGAATATATACGATGTAATAGATTCATGAAAAAACTGTATAAAATGACTCTAAGCTTTCTTTTCGGTATATAACACTTTTATTACACGTTTATTATTGCACCTTGTTTCATGGGTTAATGAAACCATTCTAAACCAAAGAAGCACACAATATCGAGGAATTTGAGCGTAGAAATTGGCAACAATCATTGAGCATTTTGACTGTGACAAGAGAGATTAATGTAATGGAAGTAAATCTTTCACGTTCAAATGGAAACTACTCTAGTTGTTTAACTAGTTTTAAATTCTTGTGTTTTGTGTCTAAGTGGCTACTACATCTTGATTAATCACAAATCTGCTGACAGCCGATTGGGTCTTTAACCTCGGGCAATCGGTGACAGTCTATGTTAAGAACAAACTAGTTATCTTTTATTACTCATTTTTACGCCTTTTGTTACATTATACGTTCATTATTTTCGTAAAATATCAACAACTAAGYCTCATGGACTACCAGGCCTATGGCGTCTAYTCGAGATCTCTAGAATTACTTTAGCTTTGAGGTTTTTCKTCTTGGCATGTCTAATCCAACCATGCTTAGCATTATCCAATCAGATTTTATTTACAAAAATCCAACTTTAAAATTTGTTCTTCCTCATGGCAACTTTACCTTGTAACCATGACAATTTTTAAACCTCWGCAAGCACGTGATGATTTGGTATTAGTCCGGATTACCAACAGTMAGACGGAAAAATCAGACGGAAAAGACCCTTCTTAGTGTACTACACCACCCTCCTTATTAGTTTTTGTCGAGTAGAAAAGACTCCTCGCCGATTTGCTCTGTGAAATGATAATTTTAATCGTATATTTAAAAATTGTTGTTTTTAATCATTGACTTGTCTATTTCAGTTTATGCTTGAGTTTTATATTAAAATAGTTTTCTTTAGTTTGATCCTATAARAAGAATTGTTTTGTTATCTATTTTAATTAGAGTATCATGATGTAAACTTTGAGCGCAAYGAATAGAATTCTCATGTTAATAATTAGTTCATCAAAACATGTATCTGAGCAACAAGAAAAGATAATAATTTAAGAGTTTCAAAAAAAGAGTATGTTGAATTTGCCCTGTTAGGAAGCATTGCCAAAGAGAATTTGTGAAAAAGTGAGCTTTAAAAAGACATATTTCATAGTTCTCTCTATATTTTTATTAAATTCTGATTCAAAATTCGGAAGGTTTTTTAGTCTCAGTAATAGGAATATTCCACGAGAAACGCAGGTTATTCAATACAATTTGTTGTTGTTGTTTTAGTGATATTTGTTCTCCTAGTGCTTCCAATGGACTATTAATCATAGCCCAGGTGTAATAAAACAGTCATTACCGTTAACTCGATAGTACGGTCGACACAAAGTATTATTCTACCCGTTATTATACACATTTGCATATAATATAGTAAAAACAGAGCTGTGCTAGCCAATCACCATAGCTTGGACAGATCATTCATCGAGACATCGTGAAACTAAATTCGCTTCCTTTTGACATTAATGGATTTCTCAAGTACTGGCCGTGTGTTGGCGATTGAATAGTAGTTTTTATCTTTATCCTCTTATTTTGCTGTTTTTATGGATGTCATGATCATGTCAAGTAGGAATTTTACAGTTAGAATGGTATTTACTTTTACTCTTTTTCGTAAATAATTAAAATGTTTATTCCAGACAAGTTGCTTAATTTCATTTTRAAATTTGAAATGTGTTTTTTCGTTATCTATCCCATTTTCATTTTCCCCGCCGTTTCGTTCACAATTTCTTCCATTCTTTGTTTCAGTTCTTTAATTCTTTTCACTGTATACAGTTTTTTCTCATTTATTTTGTGAATGTTGTATGGACGASCRTCGRCATTAGACCCACAGGGAGTCCGTACTGAAAGAATGGGATGAAATGGTATTTTGAAAAATTTCCCACTAKAAARCRCTCCAACAAAACTGTTTGTATTATGACAATGATATTTTGGTGCCGTATGAAAACAGTTCTCCACATAGCGACCTCGTAATCGACCTCCCAAGAGTTTCGACTAATTCCACTGCCATTTGTCATTGAACGATGACAATTAACTCCCATTTGTAACTTTGTTATCGTCTAGAATGCCATTTACAGGGCAAAGTGTGCTTCAGCACGTTTCTTTGTATTCGTTGTCTTGCTTTATGTTTGATATCCGTGTCTTTATTGCCATAACTACATCTTAGTTGTATGAATCACGACTCCTAACTACTGCACAACTCGGCGATAATTATTCATGTGTATACATTGTCTCCCGTCGCTCTTCACTCTTGTATCCTGTGTTTTATCAGACTGATGACCTAAGTCGATCTGCACCCAAGGAGTTTTCTTGAGATTTCCTAAGTTCAGCTGGATTTCAAACAGCGCACACGCATCGCGCGTGTCTGTGACGTCACGAGCGTGTGATAGTGATAGAGTAAACTAAAAGTGCAGSTCATCCAGGATGTCAAAAATCTCAACAACTCCAAGCGGACGTTCCTCAAAGTGACACTTGGCGCTCGTCATTAAGTCAAACCTTGTTTTTATTCTTGCTTCATTTCTAGTCGGTCATTTCACCTTCAAAACAACTACAAGCCGAGACTTAACTGTGTTAAGTTCGAATCGAGTTCAAATAGGAGTCTAGAATGACTCTTGTGTAGAATTCACAGTAAGCGTGACTRGAAGCACTCATCGCTACTCGTGGCTTATTCGAATATTCGATCAAAGGAAGGTACATTATCAATACTTGTTGTGGTTTTACAATGAACTCGACTAACTACACTAACGCTACTCAAATTCCCGCGAYGATCTACAGTCAATTATACAAGGAGCCYTTTGGATTAATGGTAGTTCGCTTAATTGCSGAAGGAATCATCTTCTTTGTTGGTACTGTGGGTAACATTCTTGTATGTGTTGTAGTAATACGTGAACATCTGATCAACTCTATTGCGTACGCTATGATCTTTAATCTCGCTATCGCAGACCTTGGTATTCTTCTCTTTAGCTTCCCATTCGGTCTGATACGGACGGAAGGGCTGGCTTGGCCGTTAGGCTGGTTTGGCTGCAAGGTGATTTACCCTCTAAGCGATATATTTCATGGAGTTTCTATTGGTTCTATAACTATAATTGCAGTACATCGTTACCGTGGGATTGTTGCGGGACGCAGCCCGGATCCACAACGCTCATTAAAATACGCACGCATCGTAATCGCATCGCTGTGGTTTTTATCGTTCGTTTTTGTTGTSGTGCCAGTTCTGTTAAACATGGAGTATGCAATGATTCAAGGCGCTCCGCACTGCTATCCCAAGTTCCCTAAGTGGCTGTACTTTGAATTGTACCAAATAGAATTGTTCATTCTTACGTACATTCTACCTATTGCCATTATCTCCTTCACGTACCTCAAGATACGCGAACGGTTACGGGAAAGTATCAGACTGCGGCAACGYATACGTAAGCAATCTGGCAATGGTCTCRCCAAAAAAGACAACTTCAATGAAAAAAACTTCAAAGCGCTTCGCGTGCTCGCYCCGGTTGTTGTGGTGTTTGTGGTGACGATGTTTCCGTACAATCTTTATCGTGTGGTGGAAATCTTTATCGACATGTCTTCCATTAAGGAAATGATTCTATTCTGGAAGATGAGCGTGCTTGCGTTTGTGTGCAATAGTTCCGCGAACCCAGTGATTTACGCACTCATGAGTGGAGATTTCCGCAAGGCTTTTAAATGGCACCTWAGGTACTGCGTTAGCAAACCATTGAATAAAACTAAGATGTTTTCGCTATCAGAGAGGTATACGTCCATTAAGCCAAAACAGCCCAGAGGTGGTTGTAAGAAGGAAGATCCAACTAGCATGGTCCTCGTTTAAACCCCCCCCTACGAGATTGACGACGTGTGTAAATTGCAATGTAGAGATTGACGACGTGTGTAAATTGCAATGTAGAGATTGACGACGTGTGTAAATTGCAATGTAATGGTCATCATTTATCGCTACGAAGAAAGCTGTTGATCTTTCACACACTCTCTCGCAGTAAACGTCTGTAATGACGTATAATAGTAATTACTTAACAAAAACTTAATCGATAAAGGACTAAAGTCAGGTGAACGTGATGTGCCTAGAGTCTAGTGAATACCGCACTTTGAACGCCGACATTTTTAGGTTGTTTCGCTGGTTTTCAGCAAGGAAAGTGCTAACATGTGATTGAGATTTCTCGTGGATTACTAGTATAAACCCATTCACTAAAGAACATATCAGGGTATTATAACTATATCTAGCTGTACTCCTTTGCAAAGTGATTTAATATATGGAACACCGGTTGTGACACTGATGAGTTTTACATGTTTTGTGCGGCGAAGTTCGTATAGTTCATTAAATAGTGGCCTGTACGAGGGGACTGAGCTACCATGATAAGTCCTAATTTAATGTTTATCAGAAAATCCATCTACAAAGCTGTCAGTAGGGAAACCAAGAAGATTAAACAAAAATCCCATAAAACTACTTCTGTTATCTTGTCCTACTAGGCACATACACTCGGTCAACTAGGGTTTTCTTTGATTCAAACATCAATATCTTCTTCTATAGCGGCTCTTACTGGGGAAAAGGAAAAAACACTCCCCCGAAATTCTTAGTTACAATAGATTTAATATGCCGGCAAGTGAATTGMGCGCACTGGGCGATTGGCTTCATTTTGATTCCCAGCTAAGTGTGTTTTGCGACCTTTTGTAAATAAAGAAAAAATATTCAATAACAATTCTATGAATACAATGCTGTTGTATAGATTACTAGCAAAAATCTTAAGATTTTTGTATGTCCACTTATGAAGTAAAGAACAAAATCCAGCTGGATGGCGGCCTTTGGGAAGTAGTTTGATTAAACAAAATATATATTAATAGGTGAAAAGTAAATTTTTTTTTGTCAGGATTTTTCTGTTTTATTCTTTAACAATACTTAAAAAGTGTAAAGCGAATTCTCAATATAAAATAGAATGTGAAATAAGGGTAATCACATAGAAATAATTAGAATACTGAAGTAGAAAATTCATCAAATATGAATAGATATAGTTAATGAAACAAAATCATGAAAAYATGACATGTAAATAAATAAATACAAGGCGAGCCACTTGGTTGTTGGCGCCTTTTGAGTCCCATGAATCATGTTCATTGCTGTTTTGTGTCAAGAAGCATTTTCTAAAATAAGATGGTTTATCTATCCATCTATCAGGCTTATATTGTAACGAAGGATAATATTCTTGAAATGCCAAGGATGGATTCTTGACTTGGCGTCAATAAGATCTTAGAAATACAAGTGACACGATCTTAAAACAGTAGATAACGGAAAAAAACTTAAACTTGGAATCGGTGCATTGTAGAATGAAATGACGCGCAAAGAAAGATGAACCGAATCGGTTTTGAAAATGAGCATGAAATTCATCCTAAAATAAGTAATTAACGGAATATCTTTCAGAGAAAGGTTATTAATCATAAAACCATGAAACAAGCGAAAAAATTGCGAAAAAGGAAAAAAAGCTGAAATACTGAAATTCGAATGTCAAAAATGGCATTTTCAAATATTGTACTTCTTTTTGATAATTGAACAAAATGTTTATTTCCAAATCATTCTTTTTTAATTGCTCTATATGATGAAAGGTTTYATTTGTGTTCGTAAGGTGTGGATGTAGACGCGCGGTGGTTTTTACAGGGATATTTTGTTTGGCGGTCATATCTGCAAATGTTTAAGACGCGTATTTTATGGGATTACCGCGAATACGAGATATTAATTGAAATTTGGTCGATTTACTCATTTAGAGGTTTGAAATGAAAACTAATATATGGGTAAAGGAAAATAATTAAGAGACTTAAGAATGCAGTTGGGTTATGCTTTGATGGGTTTAATCTTARATATATTACCAAAACATGAAAAAATGTCAGATGAAAACGAGAAAAATATAGATATCATTGTGGGAAGAAATAGTCTAGATATAAGCTATTAAAGATCCAAAGCTACCGAATATAGAAGCATCGTAATGTTCGAGAACAAAAATCCACCATATATGATAGTTTTGATGATCTAATCTTCTAAAATGCTTGTGGAACAACACAGCCAAATAGTCTAGGATAGCAATCAAAGATTTAAAATCACATATACATAGTGTGTTAGTGATAGATGGTTGGTAGAAATCGCTATTCTACAGATAATTTCTAGATTATCACAGAAACATTGCAGGTGTAGCGGAKAAAACTGCAACTCCCAGCCCCCATGCGCAACATAACATCAAATCCGGGTATAGCGTAATATCAATCTAACGTTAATAAAAGGCTTCATTTCCCCTTCGAAATGATACAACACAATCACAAGAAACAATCGTGTTATACTCTATTTATTTCTAATATATAAAGTTATTTTCGTGACTCAATGATTTAAGTGCATGCCTGACAAACTGATCATGTTTAATCTCGTAAAGATGGATAAAACACAGGCTTTATTTGTTCACTGACTATTTTGCTACCAACAAACCCTAACCGCAATTCAAACTACAGACAAAGATTTCCACAGATTTCGTGTTTATTTATTTGGGCAAATTCCCGGCTTTTGATAATTGCTATTCTGGGTTGCTATGGCTTGAGGAGTTTATTCTTTTTTTAAACGAAACATATAGGACCATGGTTATTGCTGCTATGGATAATTGCTGGATGGTATATTGAGCGTGATATTACCATGTATTACTAGATGAGGGTTATATCGTAAATGAATAAGGTTTTTGTATGCTAATAATGATATACAAATCTGTACATACAGTTTAAGCCATGTTTATTGTGGATAATTGTTGGATGGTGTTTAGCGTGATATTACCATGTATTACTAGATCAGGTTTAGGGTGATATATCCTAAATGAATAAGGTTTTTGTATGCAATAATATCCGTAAATAGTAAAATTCCGTACATAAAGTTAATGACACAAAAGGGAAGRGGGGGAGGGGGATATTTTTGTAATGTATGCTTAAGTGCAAAAAAAGTCTTTTCTTTTCACGGTGTATTTCTACTATCAATCTTTCTCACACTAGCTACCATCATTTCTACTGATTTACACTTACATCATGAAGCTCGTTATCCGCTTTATTATGAGTAAGGATCGTATATTGAAACTTCTCCTGGCAGGAAGCTAAATTATAGACCTTCAGCTCAGCGGTCCGTTTCTTTTGCGCCCCCATAAGATTCATGGTGTTTGACGCGGCCGCTACACTTGAGAAGTCGCGGCAAAAAAGATAAACAAGCTTTTCAATTTCGATAAGTCAGGATTTACAGGTTTATTTCTGTGTATGTGTTTTGACCTAATTTTGCATCTTTGGTAAGTTGCCTGACTTGAAAGCAAAACAACCTTGAACTCTCTTAGTTTTTGTCGAGTACTTTCTCTTGTGTGTGTTTTTTATTTTGCAAGTACAATAATTTCATCAAGGTGAATTAGACCAATGCTTTCTATCTAGCTCAAGAAGACCTCTTAAGTCTTCTCCTCGCATCCGACTCGATCCGTCATAGCGGCAGTTTAATTGACAGTTCTCTTGGAAACTTAAAGCCAATTCCTTGTAATCTAAATGTCTGCCCCGAGGCACCTGTTAAAGCTTCCGAATTGCTTCATTTGAGCGAACTTTCGATTATTGGTTGAATAATGACTCTAAAATTGGTGTAGAGWTCCGGCCTCTATGTTCTCAGCTTATTAGTGTTATTTTTGAATATTTACAAGCGCCTGCGGKTTGATCGGGCGTGGTAGCAACGCGGCCTCACATTAACGGCTCTCTGCAATGGCAGATCAGAAAAAGAGACAAGCCAGCTGCTTTCAGGATTTTTTTATCAGTCAGTCACGAGAGTAGAAACTATTAGTTTTAAATTTGTGCATCTTTTGCTTGAAACTTGAGACTCGTTCAGTTAATGYGGTTTTTATGCGAGTTGAAGATCGTTCTCGTGAACAGAATGAGAAGAGCCACAACCTTATCAGTCGAGAAACTTCCATATATTACACTTTTAACAGTATCAAACTCTTGCTATCTGTTCATTAAATGACAACCATCAGCTTGCCTTTCCTGCCTTCCCGAGATGCTTTGCGGATGACTTATGGCTGAAATTACCCGGGACAACACACGACCTCAGATTTTTTAGTATCTGGAAATCACTGAAGTTAGTTCTGCTATTTATAGGATTTGAGTTTTGCCGAAGGATATCAAAGAGAAAATCACGAATTCTCCGATTTTTTCCCAATATATTCAAAACAAATGCAGTACACGTCCAACTCATGTCGAATATCAGAGTTTCAACAAGAATACAATGACTTATAACTCTTTTTCACTCTCGTGTACAGATTTCGCTGTCCGGAATATAAATTATCGTACAATCTCAACGAAAGAAAAGACTGCTTGATGAACTGCAGATGTCCATATATCAAAAGCATTAAAAGTGTTTGTTATTATTGAATTTTATTACACATTCTCTTGCCTAACTCTTTATTCCTTGGCATTTATTCACTGATGATTATTTCAGATAAGAATCCATTTTGAATTTCCTTGTCCGATATATAGTTGTCCTTCATATGGTGTTAACTAGCGGTAAACTAGTGTGAGCTGCTTGGTATGGTAGGCTGAGTAGAGATGGTCGGAATACAGAGTGTCTGATACAGAGATGTCCGCAATATAAAAGTGTCGYGATATAGAGATGTCCGTATTCAGGAGGTGCCTGTAATGATACATAATACACATTTGATGTGTCCGTAATATAGAGGTGTCCATATTATACGAAKTTCTTGGTAAGAAAAGCTTGATATTTGTCCATCATCAACATAATTCATCATCATCATTCCCTTTTTGGCACAAATTTTGTCTTAGAACTCAATGTTCTTCAGAGTTTCGGAACATCAATTCCCAAGAGTTCTCCCGCTCTATTCCATAACGTTTTTGGAGTTCTTTTGTCATTGTAGAAGTAGTATGTAGAGATCATACAGAAATGACCGTAATAGAAAAGCGTTCGTATTGTAGAGGTTCTAAAAGTAGAGAAACAGGARGCGTAGAGTAGCCATGCTGACTAAAGACGTGATAGGAAGAAAGGCCGATACTATCGTGTTGTATTTATTTTACAGATTGAAATTTAGATAAAAATCCTAAATGGACAGTGATTCAATCATGTGAATAAACTACCTTTATATACGGTGTACCCTGTCAACCGGTTATGGCGTAATAGACCTTATCATCGTTTTTGCTGATAAGATGATGTCATTTGACTCTCAGGTTCTTGTAAACCTGCGTTAAATTGTGACTTTTATGACGTCTCAATAAGAGCAATTTCAATATTTCGTTTGAATTTTCCGATACTTGAAACCGTTAAATAAAACGATCAAAGTAATGGTTCAAGATAAGATAATTTACTAGTATTCCACTTTTACTCACCTTGTCTCTCTTGTATTTCTGCATGACGAACTAACTAGCATTCTATTTATAGCTGATGATTATTAATAAATCATTAATAAATCTGACCGCAAAAAAGTCTAATGGTGCATTGTGGGAAGGTACCTAAAAACTCACTTTGAAATAAAAAGATACTAATTGGGTCGATAAATATTCTCGCTAGTATTCCTTTATGACAAACTAATTAGCATTCTATTTATAGCTGATGATTATTAATAAATCATCAATAAATCTGACCGCAAAAAAGTTTAATGGTGCATTGTGGAAAGTACCTAAATTCACTTTGAAAGATACTAATTGGGTCGATTAATATTTGCAGTTACTAAGCTATTAGTATCATGCAAATTGCTTTATATGAATATATTGATATTCCTAACTTTACAGAATTTATGCAGGCTGTGTATATAGGGTATGAAATTGAATGACAACATGTAYTTTTATTCAGWTATTTCAGCGTAGGGCTTCAGTTCCTCTCAAATGACAGATGGTGATAAATGTGGAGACATACAGTTTTTTGATAAATTTTGATCACGTTTTTGATAAAATTCTGATTGCATAACATGTTTGTTTCCAAATTGGAGCTTGAAATTGACTTCAAACGGCTAGATTTATTTTAACAATCTTAAATCTTTAAAGAAGAATAATTTCATAGAGTTAGGTTAAATTTCAATCTGATCAAGTGAAWATGACATGAAATTACCCATGATGCAACCGATGATATGTGTCAGCGGTATAGTRTTTGACGATAATGTCGATAAACGAATAATTGGATGAACGAACAGATGCTCGAACTTCTGAAATAATGAGAATTGAATGAATAAATCATTATAAGAAATGAATAATAAGATTATGATTATTTCAGTCTAGAGCTCGGTTACTGTCTGGTAACACCCGTGTATTCTAATTGAATTCCAAATATATCGATAAATAATATAAATGCCTTAATAATCAATCAATAAATTATTTTATTTTTTTATTAATTACTTAAAAGTAATTAAGTAATTTAACTGTATTGAGTGCAAATAGCAGAAAATAGGATAATAAAATACGAAAATACAACATTAATCCTGCAATTTGAAGTGTTGTTTAAAATCGATATAATCTGCGCATAAACAAGATTGTTTACTGGAATGTATTATAACGTGAATCGTGACCTTGAGAGTGCTWTTCGATATACTGGCGCCACACCTCTTAGTTATTTCAACATAGATTTTTATCGTTTCCTATTTCTATTAAGCAAGAATGAAAAAAGTAATATTGCGCAAACTATTTCGAAATCACGACGAAGCCCTGGCGGCGCTATAGTCATTTTGAATATGAAGGATGTCTTCTTCAAATTGGCTGCTATTGAGAGGGCACTCAATATTTTTGAAAAAGCGAAAGTGATTTTATTTTGCCAAGAAAATGTGCGAATCTCCCCTTAGACCTGTGATGGGGTATAAAGTAAAC